GTGCAAGGATTTCGCTGGCTCACAAGAGCAAACTCCATACATTTGATCACTGATTCATGACATCATTTACCTGCCCTATCGTAAAGCTTATTGGATTACTGATTTTACTGTTCACTCGCTGAGTTTCTAACTCACCCCAAATATTTTTCTTCTCCCCACAGGGATCGAGGCAAGGGAAGAGCTTGTATTACATTATTTGTGTGACTGGATGGCGTATATCTTGTACAGTTTGGATTTGGATTCATTTTACGTAATAGTTGGGCTAGTGTGACTGTTTGGGTTAGAAGTGGATGTATGTGTACGTTCCACGCCTAGAATTAGTTTCTGCTTCGTTTATGATATGTAATTCTTGGAGAATTTGATGTATATTTGGGATTTATATTGTAATTTTAATTGAGAACTGTAGTGAACGGTTGAGTCCCAGTGAGAGTTGGGTAGGCGGTCCGCCGAACCCTTTGGTTCACCTTAGGGGGAGTTGGGGCGTCACAGTTGGTATTAGATCTTAGGCTTCCGATCTCTGTAGTGTATCCTAGGCTAAAGTTTAGGATGCCAGACTGTGGGATTTGATTTGAAAGTTAAGCGATTGAGGTAATTATTAGTACTGACTATGGCGGATAAGAGACCGAGATTTAATGGTCCAACTCTATGTATGATGATTTTGAACTAAAATAAAAGAGTATCAAAGGAATAAAATGTATTTTCCGCCATATACCTCCTAGAGAATTTCTGCTTGGAAATTCTAAAGAAAAACTAGGATGTACTAGTTTTATTTTCAAACGATGATTGGAAATAATATATATATGTTTTAAGTATGTGTAATTTTTCGATTTTGGTAAAAATGTGAATTTTACTTGAATTTCAAATTTGAAAATTTGTGAATAACTGATGAATTGTTGAATTTGGTATATGATGGGTTGATACAAGGTTAAAGTTTTCTAAACTAAGTTTTTCCCCTCGATTGTATACTGGTGTAATCTCACCCTAGAATTTGTATCTTGAGTTTTCGGAAGAATGGCGAACTTGTGTTTTATAATGTAAATCTTGACTTCGATAAGACTTTTAGTTACTTTAAATACTCCTCTTATGCTTTAAAATTCTTGGTCTTTAAGAAGAGTGTAGACAAAGAAAATTTATTTAGTTTATTTAGTCAAGATTAAATAAATTGAGTTGATCTTGATTAAATTAAATTAAATTTGATAGAAGTCCATTATGTTTTGGACTGGCAAATTGGGCCAATATTATATGGGTTATTGAATCAAATTAAATCCATAATGTCCGCTTAAGTTGGAGTGAATTAATTGATTTATTAATTCACAATGGACTATATAGGTTGGCCCATTATTTACACCCAAGTTAAATGGATTTCTTAAGTAACAAGTGATCCAAAATGCAGGAAGATTCTGAGGGTTTTCTTGAAGACTTAGCCTACATATTTTGGTTATAAATAAAGGTCTTCCCTCAAGACAAAGAGACAAGAAAAATCCCTAACTTTCGGAGAAACTCTGTCAAATTTTCTCAAGAGTTTTCTTCCTCAAATCCAAGTCCAATTCAAATCAAACAAATCCTCCCGCTATCGGTGTTGAAGACTTCAAGTTCCAAGTGTTTGACGCCATCATCAAATCAATTGTTTTCTATGCTAAAATTGTAGGAAACACCCTTTCGATTGGAGAACAAGTCTTTTCGGCCCTTCAATTGAAGCTATTCGAAGAAAAGAATCAGGGGATTAATTTCTTTGATTCAAGAACTTTCAGAGATTGTAACCCGCTTATTATTTGATTTAATCAATTTGATATTTGTGCAAGTTTTCTTGTCTTTTATTTTAGGCAACAAAATTTGTGCTTACAAATTTCTGGCACGCCCAGTGGGACTATCTTTGCCTCTCATCTCTTTTCTTCCAACAACTTACCAGTTTCAAAATTCAATGGAGTTCAAGAAGGTGAACTTTTCTCTTGAAGGCCTAGTTGCTGATGTCTCAACCACTCAAGAGACGCAGTATACTGCACCTCTGACAAGAAGTAAGGCCAAGAAGTTAGCAGAGAAGGCCAAGGCGAACGTTGTGACTGAAGAAGCAAACCTCAAGATGCTTCCCAATAAGAAAGGAGCCCATGATGAATCTATTGATAGCCCAAGTGATTCGACTGCCTCTGTGGTGATGTCCGTCATGATGACCAATACCACAACTGTGGAAGACCAGATTTCAAATCTAGCCAAAATTGTCGAAGGGCTAGTAGTGCATGCGCAAAGTCAAGATGCTAAAATAGTCAAACTAATGGCTATGGTGGAAAATATAGGCGAAAGTAGCCTTAGTATGTCCAAACAGAAATCCAAAGTGCCAGATGAAGGTGACTCATCATCAAGGGAGAAGGAGGAAGAGGATACGAAGTCACAAGCCACGAAGGAATTTTCAATCTCTCCTGATGGCACTATTCATATTGATAATCTGAAAGAGTTTATCGAGGGCACAATCAAGGACAAGATTGGTGGAGGTGCCAAGTCATATAATGGTTACACCAAACCTTACACCGCAAGAGTGGAAAGTTTGAAGATACCTGTGGGGTATCAACCTCCAAAATTTCAACAATTTGATGGCAAGGGCAACCCTAAGCAACATATTGCACACTTCGTGGAAACTTGTAACAATGCGGGCACTGATGGTAGCTTGCTCGTTAAGCAGTTTGTTCGCTCGTTGAAGGATAATGCCTTTGATTGGTACACAGATCTGGAATCTGGAACCATTGACAGTTGGGAGCAGTTAGAGCATGAATTTCTTAGTCCCTTCTATAGCACAAAGAGAACTGTCAGCATGACTGAACTCTCTAATACACGTCAATGGAAGAATGAACCTGTCATTGATTTCATTGACCGTTGGAGGAATCTAAGCTTAAATTGCAAAGATCGAATTTCTGAATCTTCCGCGATCGAGATGTGCATTCAAGGTATGCACTAGGGACTCAAAGTGGGGCGAGCAAGGAGGCGAAGAAGGAGGCGAATCTCACGCGAAGAAGGAGGCGAAAATCTTGTCCATCTAGTGGGGCGAGCAAGGTCTTAACAAGAAGTATGGTGATTTGGAAGGGGAAAGAGAAAGACGTAAAGAAAACTAATGACTGTCGTAATCTTCAAGGAGGTCGAATCTTCAAGCAAAAGTCGCGAACTCCTATCACTTTAAAAGAATTTTTGCCAAAAGAATTCTTTGATGTTGATGTGGTCGCAAGTCACACAACGCGAGTAGATCATATCGAGGAACAAAAAGATAATACTCGCGAATCTCTCTGTGAGATGGCCCGTGCGTCCACCGGCAATGAAGAAGGTCGTGTGTCTACCAGCAATGAAGAGGTGAACGTCACAAGTATCACTTTTACTAATGAAGACTTGTTGCTTGGGTCAACACCGCATAACCGTCCTTTGTTTGTGACTGGTTATGCAAAGGAGCAAAAAGTGAATAGAATGTTGATAGATGGAGGTTCCGCAGTCAATATTCTCCCTTTAAAAACTTTGAAGGAGCTTGGTATCCCTGTTGATGAACTCTCCAATAGCCGACTGATGATTCAAGGCTTCAATCAAGGAGGGCAAAGAGCCCTTGGGTCACTAAATTTGGAGATAGTCATTGATGACATGACGTCCAGAGCACTGTTGTATGTGATAGATGCTAAAACAACATACAATGTATTGTTGGGAAGGCCCTGGATTCATGAAAATGGAGTTGTACCTTTAACTCTTCATCAATGCTTCAAGTACTGTCAAAACGCGGTGGTAAGAAGTGTGAAAGCTGATGATAACCCTTTCACTGAGGCGGAAGCATATATCGCCGACGCCAAATTTTATGTCAAAAAGCACATTGCGAAGGATAAAACTGAACAACCTCTATTTGGGGATAAAATCCAGAACCCCGAATCTCCAAATGCAAAAGGGGAGAAAGTGATGATTTCGAAATCAAAAGAGGAAGTTCATGAAGAAACTGATGTTTCGTTGCCAAACAATGAATCAATTGTCTTTCGCTGCCCTCTCAAATCAAGAATGGAACAGGGACAGTCACTTGCAATTCAGCATGAAACTCTAAAAGATTTGACTCTTCCGATAGCTCATCTTGATATAAAAAAGGCGTCATCTTCTCAACTTAAAAGGTCTAGCTTTTTAAGCGAAGAATCTGAAGTTGAACAAGACACCATACCAAAGTCAAGAACCAAAAAAGGTTTTGATCCTATTGCTTATAAGTTTCTCGCTAAGGCTGGATACAATCTCAAAGAATCTGCGGTATTAAATGGTTCATCCCGTCAATCCCGTCAAAGAATCTGCGGTGTTAAATGGTTCATCCCGTCAATCTACTAGTGACATGATTCATGGGTTGAATCCTACCCAAAAGATGTTGAAGGAAAAGGGATACGCCGTTGAAAATCTCAAATTTGGCCTTGGCTACTCCTCTCCTACACCAATCCGCATCAAGATCAATAGAGTTAATAGCCAATATATTGCTGTGGAGGATGAGTCTTCTCAAATAGTTGGTAAATCTCAAGCTTTTCACGAAAAGGAGAATAAAATTCCACGGGTATCTGTTTTTAAGAGATTAGGATCACAAAGAAAATAAAAATCTCAAAACTCTCATAAGAGTAAAGGAAAAATGGCAAAGTCATTACAAAATCTTGAAGAACCTTCTGATTGTCCTCATAAATTTGGTAGCATCATTCCTTCGAGAATGAGAAGATGCACAGATCTTGTAATAAAGTGTGGGACTGAATTGAGGGTCAGGGAGCATACCGAGGTGTACACAAGACCAAAAGAAGATGATGAAGAGAGTGTTGCTTCATGCAATCATATAACCATAATTGACGGTGACTCGCCTGAAGAAGAAGAAGATGCTAAAGACGCTCCACCTGAATTGGAGGAAGGTGTTAAGGCTACTGTGGATGATTTAAAGGAGATCAATCTTGGTACTTCAGAGGACCCACGTCCAATATACATAAGTGCTTCACTAAGTGCTGACGATTGCATGGACTTATAAAGAAATGCCGTGTTTAGACCCAAAAGTGGTCGTCCACCATTTGGTTGTTAAAAAGGGAGTTCGACCTGTGAAGCAAGCACAACGGCGATTTAGACCCGATTTGATTCCGTTGATCGAAATTGAAGTCAATAAACTCATTGAAGCCGGATTTATTCGTGAAGTTAAATATTCCACATGGATTTCGAGTATCGTGCTTGTGCGAAAGAAAAATGGACAAATCCGCATTTACGCCGATTTCAGGGATGTTAACAATGCTTGTCCCAAAGATGACTTTCCTTTACCGATCACTGAGCTCATGATTGATGCAACTACTGGGCATGAAGTTCTGTCATTTATAGATGGCTCTTCTGCATATAATCAAATTCGATTGACACCTGAGGATGAGGAGTTCACTGCAGTTCGTACTCCTAAGGGTATTTATTGTTATAAAGTGATGCCCTTTGGTCTCAAAAATGCTGGAGCCACATATCAAAGAGCAATGCAAAGTATCTTTGACGACATGTTTCATAAGAATATCGAGTGTTATGTGGATGATTTAGTTGTGAAATCAAAGAAAAGAAGTAATCACTTGGAGGATTTGAGACAAGTTTTCGATCGGTTGAGAAGATATCAACTCAAAATGAACCCTCTCAAGTGTGCATTTGGAGTCACGTCGGAGAAATTTCTTGGTTTTGTGGTTCGCCATCGAGGCATTGAAATTGATCATGCCAAAATTGATGCTACATTGAGGATGTCTGAACCTCGTGACATTCATGAATTGAAAAGTCTTCAAGGGCGATTAGCTTATCTGAGGAGATTTATCTCAAATTTAGCAGGAAGGTGTCAACCATTTAGTCGCTTGATGAAGAAAGATGTGACATTTCAATGGGATGAGGCATGTAGTAATGCATTCAATAGTATTAAGTCTTATCTTATGAAAATACCTGTGTTGGCTGCACCTATTCATGGAAAGCCATTACTCCTTTATATTGCCGCCCAAGAACGGTCGGTGGGGGCATTGCTCGCTCAAGAAAATAATGAAGGAAAAGAGGTTGCCCTTTATTATTTAAGCAGAATGATGACCCCCAATGAACTAAACTATTCGCCAATTGAAAAGTTGTGTTTAGCTCTTATTTTTGCAATACAGAAGTTAAAACACTACTTTCAAGCGCATAGTGTGAGGCTCATTTTCAGGGCGAATCCTATAAAATATGTGATGAGCAGGCCAGTGCTGTCTGACCGTCTAGCTAGATGGTATCTTCAACTACAACAGTTTGAAATTATTTATGTGCCTTAAAAAGCTGTGAAAGGACAAGTTCTGGCAGATTTTCTTGTTGATCACCCGATACCTGATGAATGGGAACTAAGTGATGACCTACCAGATGAGAATGTACTCCTTATTGAGATTCGTCCACCATGGAAGATGTATTTTGATGGGGCGGCTCATCGTCATGGAGTTGGAGCAGGGATTGTATTCGTGACTCCTGATGGAGGGATATTGCTATACTCTTTTATCCTAAATCAACATTGTTCAAATAATGTCGCTGAGTACCAAGCTCTCATACTCGGACTTGAAATAGCTGTTGACATGGATCAGTTGGAACTTCAAATCTATGGTGACTCTCAATTGGTGGTTAACCAACTCTTGGGAAGTTATGAAGTTAAAAAGTTCGAATTAATTCTGTATCACAAATATGCAACGCGACTTATGAAGCGGCTTGGAGGTGCAAGTATTACACATGTTCCTAGAAGGGAAAATAAGCAAGTTGATGCATTAGCTGTGCTAGCCTCTTCACTTGCCATGCCGGATCATGAGATACAAGTTCGTGTATGCCAAAAGTGGGTAGTTCTATCACTAATTGATGATGAAAATATTGAAGGAGGCGACGCTCATGTGGTTTCAACCTATGAAATTGACAAAGAAAATTGGAGACAACCCCTCGTTGATTATCTCAAGTATCAAAAATTACCTGAGGAGCAACGTAGAAGAACTGACATCCGTCGTCGAGCCCCTCGTTTTATCTTGTACAAGGACACGCTGTACCGAAGATCATTTGAAAATGTACTGTTGCGCTATCTGAGCGAAGACGAGGCATATCGGGCGATGCACGAGGCACATTCTGGAATATGCGGAGCTCACCAATCCGGTCCCAAGTTGCATTTTCGGATTAAAAGGATGGGTTACTATTGGCCTACTATGGTCAAAAATTACATAGAATATGCTAAAAAATGTCAAGCTTGCCAGTTTCATGCAAATTACATTCATCAACCACCTGAGCCGTTATACCCGACCGTTGCTTCTTGACCTTTTGATGCTTGGGGCCTTGATGTTGTGGGGCCATTACCAAAGTCGTCCGGTCAACACTTATATATATTGGCTGCGACCGACTACTTTTCTAAATGGGTTGAAGCCATACCGCTCAAGCAAGTTAGAAAGGAAGATGTGGTGAATTTTATTCGTGTGAATATTATTTACCGTTATGGAGTTCCCCGATACATTATCATTGATAATGGAAAATCCTTCTCCAATGGCTTGATGGATAAGTTATGTGAGAAATTTAATCTCAAGCAACGCAAGTCCTCCATGTATAATGCTCCCGCCAATGGTCTCGCAGAGGCATTCAACAAAACTTTATGTAACTTGTTGAAGAAAGTGGCGGCAAAATCAAAGAAGAATTGGCACGAAAGGATAGGCGAAACTCTTTGGGCCTATCGCACCGCATACCGAACTCCGACGCAAGCCATGCCATATGCCTTAGTCTATGGTGTAGAAGCTGTTCTGCCCCTTGAGCAACAAATTTCTTCTTTGAGAATTGCTATCCAAGAAGGGCTCACAGAGGAAGAAAATGTTCGCCTGCACCTTGAAGAATTGGAAGATTTGGATGAAAAGAAATTGGAGGCCCAACAAAATCTCGAATGCTATCAAACCCGTCTCTCTAGAGCTTTTAATAAGAAAGTTCGGCGTCGCTCCTTTCAAGTCGGGGACATGGTACTCGCCGTTCGAAAGCCAATAGTTATGACTCATCGCACTAAAGACAAATTCGTCTCTAAATGGAATGGACCATATGTTGTTCGAGAAGTCTACACGAATGGTGCGTACAAATTGGTGGACAAAGATGACGTGAAAGTTGGTCCTATAAATGGAAAATTCATGAAGTTATACATGCCATAAAAAAAAGTGAAGTACTCCATGACGCATGAGTCTAAACTGCCTGTTGCTCCAGACCCGCATGAGCTAAAACTGTGGACAACAATCACCAATAGTGTAGCACGTGATTAAACTGCTGAAACACTCCACCAAATCTAAGGTGGTAAACAAAAGGATACTCCTGACCCGCAAGAGTTTAAACTGTGAACGGTAGGAACTATGTGTGACTTGATTCTCTTTTGGGATACGTAGGCAGCTTAGAGGGCAACTTCGAAGTTCAGTTATAACTCTATAAAACTAAAGTCTTTGCCCGGATGATGCTTTTGATAAAAAAGAGAACGTTCAACGTTAGGACAGTTCGAATTATTTTGTGACATATACTTGAAAGTGTATTATTCAGATTACCAAATTATTTGAATAATTACCTTTTCAAGTGTGATCAAAATTATGCAAAGATGGAATTATTCATACTACAGTTGATAACCTAAAATGGTGTCTATCGAAAGAATAAGTGAAGACGAGGACGTCTGCAAGAATGTGATGAAAAGAAAAAAAATTCAAGTTTCATTATGAAATATTTGTACTCATAGCTACACGCTTGAGCAATTAGAAAAAGATGAAATTTGAAACAAAATAAAAGATTGCAACTATTCCTAGAATTCAAATGACGATAGCTCCTTTCGATTGTTTTCAAGTAATGCTTGCATCTTGTCCAAAGTTTGACTCTCCTCAGCAAGTAGGGGCGGGGAATTCTCAATCTTTCGAATTTCATGCTGTAAGTCGACCATCACACCTTGCACTCGGGTAAGTTCATCTTGCTCTTCTCGTAGTAGTGAAAGCGTCTCCTTCCTGTGAGTATCCAAGCACTCAAGTTGCTTCCTCAACTCTACTTCCTCGCGATCAATCTCCTTAAGTTTCAACATGTGTGTTGAGATCTTCTCCGCTTGTTGTTTCTCCTTACTCTGAGCATCTCTAAGATGTTGGATGGCCGTAGAAAGCAACTCATCATATGATTCAGCTGAAATTTTATTTGAGAGAGAAGATTTCACTGCAACGTAACGAGCTGCATTTGCAAAGAAAGCCTTTAAAAGGCCTTGCAAATTTGAGATATCCGTGGCATTGAAGCTTTGTATTTCCTCCATGATTTCGTTGGCTTTCATTTCAAGAGCTGGCATGCGCTCCAAGGCTGTTTGAGATATCATCACCCTCAAGTTATTCCACAACATTTGGATATAGTCTCGACGGCATGTTGAGATCACGCTTCGGGGACAAAATTCAGACACTCGAGGTGCCCTTGGCCACGATGGTGGATCAAAAACTTTGAGTTTCCTTTTGGCCGATGGAGTCATATGCTCCGCCTTCTGTGGCATGATTTGCTGAATCACATTTCCATCATCTACTGTCTTTTTGGAATTCTCACTAGCACCCTTTTATTGGGTAGAACTGACCACTTGTTTGGCCAAAAGTTCAAATGCAGTAGATCCTTCAACTGATATTTGACTTGGTTCTCCATCATCAATGAAGATTAAATCTTGATCATCCAACTATAGGAAAAAACGTTGTGAGGCAAATCATGAATATGAAATTAACAAGCAAGTTTTAAATGCTAGATTAAAGAAGGCAAGGAGGGTCCTTACAATATTGGCGCGGCTTATACCAGGCACAGATATATCCGGAATGTCTTTAAAGAATTCTTTGGGATCTAAACCAATATCATCCAAGGGGAGAGTCATTACCTTGGACTTCTTGCGCTTCCAATATTGGTCCGTGCTGATGGATTGCTCATCCTCCTCATTAAAAGGCTCGCTCCTCTTCTTCTCATGTGAATTGCAAGAATCATGATCAATAACTTTCACAACGTTTGAAGGAAGATGAAATGAAGTACTCTTCGAAAATTCCTCATTAGGAGTAAGGTCCTCAGGGATAGTAGCCTTGTTGTTTGAACTCTTCAAAATTTCCTTCTCGCTTCTCATAGTCTTTTGCTTTATTTCAAGACTATTGCCAACCTTGGAATGATTGTTCATGTTTGCAAGTTCCTTCCCTTTTGACTTCTTCTGCTCCCCATTCGATTGGACACTTTTAATTAAAGCATCACGCCCTTTGAGGAGATGATCATCATGCACCATAAACCACCATGTTTGAAAACCTGAAGATGTGTGCTTGTTAGCGTTCAAGGGATAGCTAGGAAAAAGTATCTTTGACTCTGTTTTATTGCGAATGGCAGTGCGCCAGAGTATTCGACTCAAGTCATGATTCGTGGAACGAACATCTGCCCCGAGTTCCTGTGGAAGAACTTGATAAAATCCGAATTGCCGCGCGAATCTGTATGGACTGTATGGCTCAACAAGGAAATCCCCTTCAGCATGCAAAACTAAGTAATTTGAGCAGGCGCTTACAAAATAACTTAGTTCAAGATTTGCTAATTTGCCATTGTCAATGAAAAGTTCATTGCGGTTCTTCACAAGAGAAGTGATTCCCCAAGTTGCTTTGTCTCCCTGATGAATGAGGTCACGAGCACTATTTTCATCAAAATATCGTGCGCCACCTTTTCCAGAATAGTTGGTCATTATGGGTCCAGGCATGGTATTTGGAGTCGAATAATGGGTAGAGAAATAACTCGCTAACCAAGCATATACATAGTGCACCGGAAAAGCCGCACGTGCACACCCTGGGGTAGTTGAGTTTGAAATTTTGTTAAACTCACGGTATATGTTTAGCAGGACAGGAACAGCGAGACAGGTCTTACGACCGGCAACCATCATACTAGCCATTTTGAAAGTAGATGGTCTAATATGATGGAGGTCCTCATCTGGTAAAGCAAAGACACAGAGCCAGCAAGATAGGTCTCTTCCCGCAAGTGAAATTTAACTCCGATGGTATCAAATACGCCATTGTCTTGACTTGAAAATTTGCGTGGTTGTCTAATTTCGCCATCCGGATTTTGGGTCGCTTGAGCACGAGATGCCCTCTTTATCCTTCTCTGCTTTGGTTTTGAGTACCTGATTTTGCCTTTAAACCAGAACTTAATTCATTGGGCAGCAGAAACTCCAGCTTTGTTGGATTCCCCATGTTGAAGATGATGTAAGGCTGCGAACAAATATTCACAACTTTGTGGAATATGCCTTAATTTCTTCTCATTTACTCCAGTTAGCTCCTCCGAGTATGGGATTACCTCTTCATAGATACCCCCGATGATTGGAAATCCTCCTAACTTGTGCAAGTCCCAAAGTGAGAGAGACAATTCCCCGACAGATGTATGCAAGGTATTAGTGTCCGGGCACCACGCCTCGTAGAATGCCCTAAGTACATGGGGTTTCCTATCATATGTGAAAAGTGAAGCATATAAGGCATCAAACAAGTAATTTGCACGGAGCACTTGTTTGCTCCTGCCGAGAATATCCTCCAACCACTCCCAGTAACTCTCGATGTAACTGAATGCACCATTAAGTCTCAAGGAAGGACCCCAGTGTGCATCTCCGTCTATGATCCGCCTGCCAAGGGTTTGAAAGGGAGTTGTCGTTGGCTCCTTACTGTGAATAAGGGATCTCAAGGAGTGGACTTTCGTGCCGTCATCTTGAGAAAGTTCATGTGACCAGTCCTTCAATTCTGGGTACTAGTGAGAAGGCCACTTACCCGAGTAAGATCCTTGTATAGGGATATGCACCAGTAATTTCGTTCCTTTGTCATCAGAGTCGTCATGACTATTGGCGATAAGGAGGTACCTTTCGTTTGAAGTGATAACTTCCTTGAATATTGCCATTTCGTCAAGTCTAACCTGCATAAAAAAAAAGGGGTCACGATGGCGCGATCAAAGATAGTAAGTGGAGTACTAAGTCGTTAGCATAGGATAAATAAAGAGATTTCTGGGCGCTAGTAAGCCCTTGTTGAGGTGGACATTTGCGCCTCCTTTATATACTCCTCAAGCCATAATATGGCTCTCGTGGGAGTTTGCGGTTGCGCCATTTTCAAATTTTGGCTGCGCTATCTCCTTTGTACTCCTCAAGCCATAGAATGGCTCTCGTGGGAGTTTGCGGTTGCGCCATCTTCAAATTTTGGTTGTGCCATCTCCTTTGTACTCCTCAAGCCATAATATGGCTCTCGTGGGAGTTTGCGGTTGCGCCTTCTTCAGATCTTAGTCGCACCTTCATCATGTACTCCTCAAGCCATAATATGGCTCTCGTGGGAGTTTGCGGTTGCACCTTCTTCAAATTGAGGGTCCACCGTGGGTGTTGCCGCAAAGGATCCTCTTCTCATATCACAAAAAAAAAAAAAAAAATTGCATTGACAAGAAATAAAAGCCATAAGGTATGTGAATTACCTTAGCGTTTTGAACTCCAAGAGCTATGGTCCTAAAATTGTGGACACAATTGGAACGTCAATTTGCTTCAAATAATCTATGCCAACGTCAGCTGCGAAAAAAAAAAAAGAAATTTTCAGCCATAATTTTGTTTTAAAAAAAAAGGGAAAAAAAAGTGACGTGTGGCATGCAATGGCGGGACAAGTTCTTATGGTGGGCCATGCTTATCTTTAATATCAAGTACGGCATTATTTAGTCACTGGGTGATGTTCCTTTCTTATCACACGAAGTCAAAAAAAAAAAAAAAAAAAGTCCATCAAGAGCAAAATTTTGCCTTGCTTCCTACGAAGGGACATTCAAGAGAAAGACACGGCATGTGGCATGTGTGTTGCCCTAGCCAATTAGCATCAGTGGGAAATTACATGGAAATAACTTCAATTGCAATTTAAATGAAGAAACACTGTGGAGTTTGCGTGGATCGAGAGGGCTATGGTGTGCAACAATGGAAAGAAAACGGGTATACTTTGCAAAGTAACAACCGAAGTTTAAGGTGGTCTTGGCCCTAGGTTCAATAATTAATCTGTGCTCGCTAAGTTTTGTTGGAGTTATTTGGCAAGTAATTGAGCAACTTGAAGAACACATGCAATTTTTCAGCAATAAAGGGTGCACAAGAATCAAATTTGCAGCAGTGACATGCAATATGTCTATCGAGTTAAAAAAAAGAAAA